TTTATTGAGTTTTTGTTTTCTTTTTCTTTATGTTCTTCGTTTTTTTGAGTCTTTAATCCATAAAAGTTTCAAAGTTGTTTTTGTGCTTATTTAGCATCCAAATCAATTTTTGTTTATTTTGCAGGTATTGTAGTTGAATTTTTGCGCAAAAAAATTCAAAAAAAATTTGAAAGTTACCAGCAGCATTTGATTTTATCTGTTTTTGCGTAACAAGGGGGTATATACATATACATATATATTTTTGTCTTGTCCAACTCAAAATTTAAGAACCACTTTTTTGAATTAAAAGTTTACATTCAAAAGTGTCCAATTCTTTTTGCTTCTCTCTTTTCTTTCTTTCTTGGGTCTTTTAAAGTTATAATTTTTGCCCACATCCTAGTTTGAATTATTCAAGAATAAGACTTGATCAAGTCTGAATGAGTTCTTTAAAGCACTTGAGCGGAAGTATTGAGTGAAAAAATGTAAAAGAAGTGAGACTAATAGAGGAAAAGAGCCTATTTGAGTGATAACGCGGGGCATATATTACTCTAGATTTAAGATGTCAGAACGAGACGATTCAACATCAAGCAAGAACAACAATCAAGTTAATTCGTCGGAAGCATTGATACGATGATTTGAAAGGTTGTGAAGATATGAGGGATATGTTGGATAGGCAAGATGCGTGAATGGCAATGTAAGACTTATTGATTGCCAATTTACGAAAGGGAGTTTCCAATGCAAGGAGACAATGTAGGCGGGAGTCTAGGATAGAGAATCCTAGTGATTATGACGAGGATAGTGGAATGGATGAAGATGCGATAGTGGATGCTGACTTTGGGAGAGTAAGAGATAGATGAGTTAGGTATGAAAGGAGGGATAGAGAACTTATGGGAGATGTAGTTGATGGTAGTATGGGCAATAAGGAAATGGAGTTATTAACGATTAGAGCGACTGTTGAGGATAATATGGGGGCCACTATGACTCGATTTTTGATTCGTTTGAATAGGAAAATATTTAATATAATGGAGTTGCAACATTATGTGGAGTTGAAAAATGTGCTACATGTGACTATGAAGGTAGAGAGGTAATTGAAGAGGAAGGTAACAACTAGGTATCCAGCGGGTTTTAATCCTTCTTGAAAATCAAAGTTGGATAGTAACAAGGGAGACGGGGCAATTTCGAAGAGCGAAGCTAAACTACCGAAAGGAAAAGAGGAAAGTGCTAACAATGTTACATCCAACGTCATCTAGGAGTGGAAACATCAAATGTTTTAGGCTTTCGGGGTTAAGGCACGTTGCTTCTTAATGTCCCAACAAAATGGTAATGATTTTGCTAGACAATGAAGAATGAACAAAAGTGATGAGGATTATGGTGACAT